TAGCCAGCTCTAGTAAAGCAGTCCCACCCCTTCCTTCAGGCCCCGCCTCTTCCTAAGGCCCCGCCTCCTGGAACGTCGCCCCACCATTGGCCGGCCAGCAGAGCACGCCAGAGCACAACCCATCTTTCCTGGCCCGCCAGGCCCAACCCCTCTCCACGTGGCCACGCCCACTTGCGGCTTCCTGTCTGCCTATTGGGCACCGAGGTGTCAGGTTTCAGCGCGGCTTTCCCGCCGAGGCCCCGCCCTTTCCTAGGCCCCACCCCCAGAGGCCACGCCCCGTCCGTTGGGCGGCCGGCAGGAGGCGCCTCGAGCCGGGCTGCGGCTCCGCTAACTGCGGGCGTGGGAGCCGCGCGCGGGGCCCGCGGCCGGTGGGCTGCGCTGAGGTGAGTACGGAGCGAGGAGGAAGACCGGCGGGGATGAGGTCGACCCGGGAGGTGGCACTGGGCGACTGCGGGGACGCCCAGGGTGGGCTCAGACGCCGTGGGGCTGAGAGAGGGGCTGCGGGGCGCGCGCTGGGGACCTGGGGGCCGCGCGGGTCACGATCCCCGCGGTGACTCGGGGCGCTGTGGAGGCAGGCTTGCTGGGTTGTCATGGTAACCGGCCAGCGCTCGGGGCCTGATGCGGCCCTGGGGGCGGGGGCGCGGGTGGCTTGACCCCGGGGACTTCCAGGGGGTCGGTCCTACTTCGGTCTCTATCTGTTGGGGGGATCCCCCCTCGCAGTCCTCAGTTTCCCTAGCGGTGCTTTGGAGGTGCAATCTAGCCTGGGGCGTGGCGAAAGATTTCAGGGGAGTCCTTCATTCTTCCACCAGGATGGTGGTGACACCCCCGCCCACACCCATCCCGCATCCTGTCCTCTCCCCACCCGTGTGCCCGCGACAGGCATTGTCTCCCCAGCTATTTCTGTACCACTTCCATTCAGCGCCCCAGCAATTGCGGTGTCTTGAGACAGATGCACAGTGGCGCTCCGGAGCTCTGCAGAGGGAGGCTTCTGTCCCCCGGGAACCACTGGGATAGGGGCCTGGCAGGCAGTAGACCTGTCTTGCCCAGCTCTGCCGCCTGTCGAGTGTTTGGTTAATCTGAATTACCAAAAAGAATTTGATTACCGGTGTCTCTGTGCTGCTGGGCCACCTCTTGTGCATTCCAGTGAGAAGCCTGTCTCTAATCCCACTGGGACATTAGTCCCTTCTTTGCTAAGTGACTAGCTAGACAGAATGAAACCTGATTGAATTATGCTTACATTTGAAACCTCCCTCCAGCTGGAGCCATAAAGATAGGATTTTATGGAAGAGGGGAGGAGAAAGCACTGCTTGCAAAGTTGACTGTTCATTTTCCCTCCTGTTGGAATGATAATGTGTTCCACATTGTCCTGTTGGAATGAGAGACATCCCTCCACCCATGTCAGCCACCACTGACCTCACTCCCTGCCCTGCCGCTGTGACTTAACCTTGTTTTCCATCAGAAATGAGACTTTTTCCTGAAGACCAAGAAAAGTGAGAGTCTGAATGCAGCTGTAGCAAGAGCCTTGCCTGTCACCCTGGCTCTCTGGGGACCCCTGAGCTGTCCCCAAGTGTTTGTGTGCCAGAGTTGAGAACTGGGCAGAAAAGGAAAAGACAGGTCATGCTTCCAGAAAAACAGATCTGGTTACCCAGGGCGTGCGCTGCTCCGTAGGACTTTCCCTGAATTCCGAGTGGCCTTTTAAGAAGTGTTTGTCCCAGGCAGCACCCTTGATTGTGTGATTAGGAAGGGAGGTGGTGTGTGAGCCAAGTGGCCAGGGCGTCAGTGGCACTCTCTTCAGCGGCCACAGAGAGGACAGCCATTAAAAAAAAACCTTTTCAAATCCTCATAGTAGCTAAGACTCAGGATTAACAGGGCCTTTGAGGGGTTAAGAAGGCGATGTAGGAAAGGAATGAGTCACATTCTCCCAGCTTGCTTGTCTCCTACTTTGCCTTAGAGTCAGGCTTGGGGGGTGGGTATGGGACACACTCCTGAAGTTCAAGCTCCCAGCACCCCTTGCTCTACAGGTCCTGGGAAGGGACCTAGTGGTAACATATTTGTAACTTTCCATTTCTCTTTTCTTTTTCCTTGTTTTTATTTTTTAATTAATTAATTATTTTTTTTTTTTTTTTTTTGGTCTTTTGAGACAGGGTCTCCTTGTAGCCCAGCTGGCCTGGAACTCACTATGCAGATCAGATTGGCCTTGAACTCACAGAGATTTGCCTACCTCGGCCTCCCAAGTGCTGGGATTATAGGCATTCACCACCACACCTGGTGTTTTTAATTTTATTTATTTCTATATTTGGAGACAGGGCCTGTATAGCCGAGGCTGGCTTCAAACTCTATGTAGCCAAAGATGATTTTGAACTTAACAATTGTTTTACATATATTTATATACTCTGTGTTTGTTCTCACACATGAATGTCGTGGTATTTATATGGAGGTAAGAGGATAGCTTGGGGAGTCTGTTTTTTCTTACCATTTGACATTGAATTTAGGTCGTCCAGCTTGTCAGCAAGTACTTTTACCTGCCGAGCCATCTTTCAGGCTCAATGACCTTGAACTTCTTTTTTTGGGGGGGGGTTGGGGGTTGAGACAGAGTCTCCCTGTAGTCCCAGTTGGCCTAGAACTTGCTATGTAGACCAGATTGGCCTCAAACTCAGAGGTCCCTCTGCTTCCAGCTCCTGAGTCCTGGGATTAAGGGCATGTGCCACCACGTCTGGTGACTTTGAACTTCTAATCCTCCTGTCTCTACTTCCTGAGTGCTGAGATTACAGATGGACACCCATGCCCAGTTTATATCCCAGTTTATATAGTGCTAGGGATGGAACCCAGGACTCCATGTATGCTAGGTGAACACTCTACTAACTGAGCTCTCTCAACCCTGATTTGAGATTCACCATATAACCCAGGTAGTCCTTTAAGTCTAGGAAACCTTTCATAGTGTTCTCCCTTCCTCCTTCCTTTTTTGCATGTAGCCCAGGCTGGCCACGAGCTGGCTATTGTACCTGAGGATAACCTTGAACTTCTGATCCTCCTGCCTCTCCTCTCCAGAGTGCTGGGATTGCAGACGTGCACCACCACACCCAGTTAACATTTTGTTGTCATCAAAGAAGAACTGTGGAAGTGTTAGCCGGCACCATCTTGTGCCCATCCCTAGGTGCAATATGCCAAGTCACTTCTGCATTGTGTCTGGGCCTTTTAAATACCCGTATTTGCTTTCTGATGTATCTCCTGCCCAGGGACAGTGTGGTATTTACATTTACACTTAGACATGGTCTCTAGAGGCTTCCATGGCTTCAGTGGGTGTCGCTGTGCTGGGAGCCTCTTGGGTTGGGCTCTGGACCCTGAGCAACCTCCATCAGAGATGTCCATTCTGTTTCATGGAATGGGCCATGGAGGCCCAGTGCTGTGGAAGGCCATGTCCTCTGGGAATGTGTGCTGGCCTCGAGGCTTCTGAGAAAGAAATCTCTTGGGCAGGGTTGTGTGACCTTAGGGATGGTTAGTAAGGACTGATGTTTATGAGTGTGCATGTATGTGGAAGCCAAAGGTCAATCTTAGGTGTCATTCCTAGGGAGCTGTCACCTTGATTTTGGGACAGGGTCTGGCCTGGAGTTTGCTGTTAGGCTAGGCTGGTCAGGCACCGAGTCCCAGGGATCCTCTTTTCCTTCGTATACACGCTCACAAGTGCATACCACCAGGCCCAGCTTTTTATATGGGTTCTGGGGATGGAATTCTGGGTCCCCATGTTTGCATGACAAGCTTGTGTGGCTGGTTTGAGAGAATGTTTGTAGGGGTTCATTCTCTGTTTCCAAACATTCCTTCTCAGAAAGCATGCTTTCCAAAATGTTTTGTGCATATGTGGTAGTGGTGGTGGTGGTGGTGGCAATGTGTGTGTCTGCGTGTGTGTGTGTGTGTGTGTGTGTGTGCGCGTGCGCGTGCATGTGTGTGTAGTAATGGTGTGTGGTGATGGTGTGTGTGTGTGTTTTGATATCTTCTATTACTCTTTGTTTATTTTTATTATGTCTATGACTGTTTTGCCTGTGTGTATGTAAGTGCACCTTCTATGTATTATGCCCACAGAGGCCAGAAGAGGGTACTGGATCTCCTGGAACTGGAGTTACAGATGGTTGTTAGCTGCCATGTGAGTGCTGGGAACTAAACCCTGGTTCAGATAGAACAGCCAGTGCTCTTAATTGCTGAGCTACCATCTCTCCAGCCTCCTCCATCTTCTTGAATTAGAGTCTTTCTGAACCAAAGCTTGCTGTTTCAGCTAGACTGGCCAGGCAGCTCTTAGTATCTACATGTCTCTGACATGCCCCGCCCCCTCTTGCCCCAGTGCAAGAGTTGTAGGCACAAACAACTATGCCCGACTTTTTTTTTTCTTTTGAGACAAGGTCTCCCTTTGTATCCTCAGCTGGCCTGGAACTTACTGTGTAGACCAGGCTGGCCACAAACTCATAGAGATCTGCCTGCCTCTGCCCCCCAAGTGTTGGGATTAAAGGTGTGTGTCAGTGTGCTTGGCCATACTCAGCCTTTTACAGTGTGCTGGAAATTCTAATACAGGTCCTCAGATTCTAATGCCATTGTTTTATCCACTGAGTCCTCCCTCCAACCCCTTGAAAATGTTTTCCTTGTGTTTTAAATGTCAGATCCATGCAGGGAAGCATGCTCAGTTCTAGGCTTCACAGGGTTCTCCAAGGACACTTGTCACAGGATCCCCAGGGGAGGAGAAACAAAATCTTTATTTTGATGCTGCCATAGCTTTCCTCACTGAGACTCGAGAGAACCTTCTGGGCTTCTGCTTTCTGTCCATTTTCTCTGGAAACCAACTACTTGTAGACAAATTCATGTCTCCAGAAAGCCTGGATTGCTAAAGGTTCTGTGGTGGGAATTGGGAGCAGGGGACTGTGATGGGAAGAGACTGCCCCACAGGACAGATTATAGTGTTGGGGGCTCACGCTTCACTGTGTGTAGCTCTTGGAGGGTCTGGAAGGGCTCAGGTTCTTTCCACAATGCCTGAGGTACAGTAGGCCGTAGAGGAATGGTGGCCTGCTTTTCCAATTTGTTCTTGACAGTGAGGGTTGCAGGGAGATACTTCAGGGAAACTGTAGCCTAGGGGAACAGAAACCCATTCTCACTGTCAACTTGGAAGCCCGAACTATTGTATTCTTCTACTCTTGGCTCTCAGGTGTGTGCATATCTATGTTTCTTTGCTTTGAGACTGGATTTTGCCAGGTATGTAGCCTGGGCTGGTCTCCAACTGGGCGTGTAGCTCAGGATGACCTCCAACTTGAGACCCTTCTGTCTCAGCCTCCTCCGGGTACTGGGGTTACAGGATTATAGGCACACATGATCACACCCAGCTCCCTGAGAGTTTTGTTTTGTTTTGCCTTATTTTGTTTGAGACAGTGTCTTCTATATTACAGGCTGGCCTGGAACTCTCTAAGTAACTGAGATTGACCCTCTGCCTCCATCTCCCAAGTCCTGGAATTACAGATATGGAGCTCATACCCTGCTTTCCCTGAAAGTATTTATTTATTTATTTATTTGAGACTGGATCTCCTTTTTTAGTCCCAGCTGGCCTGGAACTCGCTATGTAGACCAGGCTGACCTTGATCTTACAGAGCTCTCCCTGCCTCTGCCTCCTTAGTGTTGGGATTAAAGGGGTGCACCACCACACCCAGCTTCCCTGAAAGTCTTTTTAAAAACAATTATTTTTACATTTGTGTTTTGTGTTTGTGCACACGTGCGTATTGGACGTGTGTGAAAGTCTGAGGACACTTGGGAGTTGTTTCTCTCCTACCTTGTGGGTCCTAGAGATCAAACTGAAGTCATCAAGGCTTGGTGGCAAACCCCCTTTACCCATGAAGCCATCTTGCTGGCCCCTGATAGTCTCTTTTGAAGAGCTCCCTGGGTGCATCTGCTTTAAGCATCCTCCAAAATCCATTTCCAGTCCACAAAAGTGCAGGTGAGTGGATACTGGGGACTTCAGTGGCGCTGGCTGTCTGGAGTCATGCTGGCAGGTGCATGTGGCACCTTTGTTGGGTCTAGCAGGCATGTCCAGCCATTTTACAACATTGTAATGTGATGTTGTCATTTACAAAGTTCACACTCAAGAACTGTGCGAAAAAAAAAGAGAAAAAATCACCAAAAATTCTTAACGTGTTTTAAATAAGTTTACAATTTTGTATTTGACGTCATTCATAGCTATCCTTGGTCACATGCAGCCCCAGGGTTCCAGGTTGAACACACCTGTCTGAAACCTTCTAGAAAACACTCCTTTCCTGGCTTACTGACCTGACTACCTTTGTATTTGGTGGGAAGGTGAGTGCAGAAGTAAGGTGTGGTCATCAGGAGATGTGTGCACGGCTTTTCAGAGCTGTCCTGTCTGGTGCCAGAGCCTCAAGTACCCTGTCTGTTCTCTGCGCTCTCCAGCCCCAAAGAGATTATTGAGAGGAAGACTGGTAATTACACCTCTATATCCTGCAGGGTATCAAGGGTTTTAGGATTACAATTCTGCAACACATGGAGGCTTCCCAGGGTCTCTTTCAGGGAGCTTGTCTCTCACTGGCCTGGAGAGGGCCGGGCGGCTGAGTGTCTGGGTGTCTGGATGCAGTGGGTGGAATGCACACATTCCAGGCATGTTTCCACCAGCTCCAGAGGCTCCCTTTGTGTTTCCTGTGGCCTTGTGGATAGTCTGAGCTTTGGTCCCAGGGAGGCATCTCTTCAAGAGGACCAGTCTCCTCTGCTAGGCCATGGGAACAAGCGGTTTCTTGGCGTTTGTGTCTGATGGTTTGTTACCTCTCTCTCTCTCTCTCTCTCTCTGTCTCTGTCTCTCTGTCTCTCTGTCTCTCTCTCTCTCTCTCTCTCTCTCTCTCCTGTGTGTGGGAACTTGGGCCTGTGCCCACATGGAGGCCAGAAGAGGACGCTGTGTGTCCTGCTCTGTCACTCTCTACCTTATTCTTTTGAGACACTCTCTCACTGACCCTGGAGCTAGGCTGGTGACCAGCCCCCAGTGGTCCTCCTGTCTCTGACCCTCATAGCACCAGGGTTACAGGCACATGTGTGGCCATGCTCAGCTTTTTATGTGGGTGCTGGCGATTCAAACTCAGGTCCTCATGCTTGCACAGCAAGTGCTTTTACCCACAGAGCCATCTTCCCAGCCTTGTGGCTTGCTATCCTTATTGTGGCTGTAGCCATGGCCATTTCCCAAGCTCTGCTTCTGTTTGGGATGAGCTTTTTCTTTTATATAGACTGGCACAGTACAAAGTGAATCCACAGAGGAACAGAGCTTTGCCCCCAAGTCGTGTATGGCTTTTTGTTTCTGGCTATCACATTGGTAGATGGTGGGCATGTCCCTCAGAAGAGAGTCTGCCCTGTCGAGACTGCCTGTGTTCTTGTCCCTTGGTCTACCTGTAGTTGCTGTGCCCAGAACCCAGTGCTTCTCAGAAGTCAGAGCCCGTGACTGTGCATGTCTTACCTTTGGTGACCTCTTTGTGCTTCCCAAAATAGTGGCTTTCCCTGAAGGCACTCCAGCCCATCAGACCTGCTTTGTCCTTTGTAGCCTGCAGGCTCAGGCTTGTCAACTCAGGTGCTCATTTGGGCTCTGGCCCCGGGGCGGGGGGGGGGGGGGGGGGGGGGGGGAGGGCGAGGGGGGCCTGAGTTTTTTAAATCTTTTGGGATGAAGGGGCCCCTTTTTTTTTTTTTTTTGGGGCTCTTGTTTCTTGTGCCAAACTCTGTTTTTTTGTTCTTTCCGGCCCCAATTTATGTGGGTGCTGGCGATTCAAACTCAGGTCCTCATGCTTGCACAGCAAGTGCTTTTACCCACAGAGCCATCTTCCCAGCCTTGTGGCTTGCTATCCTTATTGTGGCTGTAGCCATGGCCATTTCCCAAGCTCTGCTTCTGTTTGGGATGAGCTTTTTCTTTTATATAGACTGGCACAGTAGAAAGTGAATCCACAGAGGAACAGAGCTTTGCCCCCAAGTCGTGTATGGCTTTTTGTTTCTGGCTATCACATTGGTAGATGGTGGGCATGTCCCTCAGAAGAGAGTCTGCCCTGTCGAGACTGCCTGTGTTCTTGTCCCTTGGTCTACCTGTAGTTGCTGTGCCCAGAACCCAGTGCTTCTCAGAAGTCAGAGCCCGTGACTGTGCATGTCTTACCTTTGGTGACCTCTTTGTGCTTCCCAAAATAGTGGCTTTCCCTGAAGGCACTCCAGCCCATCAGACCTGCTTTGTCCTTTGTAGCCTGCAGGCTCAGGCTTGTCAACTCAGGTGCTCATTTGGGCTCTGGCCCCGGGGCGGGGGGCGGGGGGCGGTGCGAATGCCAGGATGGCCTGAGATTGTTACATCCATTGAGATGAATGGGCTCCTGTTTCATTTGTTCTTGGTGCTCCTGATGCTTGATGCTAACCTCTGTTACTTTGTCCTTCCAGGCCCCAGCCTTCCCCCAGACATTGGCTGAAGGCCTCAGTGGTTGTCCATGAAGACATGCCCACCATGTTTTATGGAACCCAACTGATCATGTCTCCTCCCACCAAGAGTAAGCTGAAGCGACAGGGCCAGCTTCTGTCCAGTATGCTGTCCAGGACACTGAGCCAGAAGTACCGGGACCTGGACTCCACATTCTGCAGTCTAGGCGCCAGTGATGATCCGGCTGAACTCTCTACCCAGCTCTCAGCCCCTGGGGTCCTCAAGGTGTTTGGGGACAGTGTGAGCACAGGCACCCACTACAAGAGCGTCCTGGCCACTGGCACCTCCAGTGCTCGGGAGCTGGTGAAGGAGGCCCTGGAGCGCTATGCCCTGGACCCCGAGTGTGCCAGCCAGTATGTGCTATGTGACGTGGTAGGCCAAGCTGGGGACTCTGGGCAACGGTGGCAGGCCCAGTGCTTCCGGGTGTTTGGGGACAATGAGAAGCCCCTCTTGATCCAAGAGTTATGGAAACCCCGAGAAGGCCTGTCCCGGAGATTTGAGTTGAGGAAGAAGTCAGATGTGGAAGAGTTGGCAGCCAGGGACGTGGATACCACCACGGCAGGTAAGGAAGGGCTGTGTGGATCTGAGTATGGACAAGTGGCCAGGAGGGTGACAGGCAGAGGAATATGGGGGAAGTGGCTTTGTTCAGGTAGGGGCCAGTTGGGCTGTGGTGAGTCTTGGAAGATTTCTCTAATTTGTGTTTACTTTTGAGACAGATGCCTTGACTGTGAGAGATGCTTGGTGGTCCCTGATAACTGCTCTCTTGTGTTAGGTAAAATGCAGCCTGTTAGCCCCAGAGACTGGTGGGTTCACGGTTGCAGGTATGCCAAACAGTGCCTTTCAGGTGTGCATGAGGATGTGAGGGCAATCTGGCTGCGACATATGTCACCCTATTGATCGCCAGGGTTCATTCAGCTGATCTGGCTGGCTAGGCAGGTGTCCCTTTTCTCCCTCAGCTTGGTTGAAGAGGATGACTTTCCCCAATAGACGAGGATTGGTCTTTGGTCAAGGGTATACAAGTAGCTGTGCTCCCCTGCTTGAACCTCCAAACAAAGCTCTCAGGTGTGCCATGAATCTTAGGGTGGTTGTATATACACTGAAGGAGGTCTTCAAAGATGTGCATGGCATTGCTGGGTCTGAGGGACTCTAGTGCCAAGTGGCTCCATGCAGCCACTTGGGTATCTGGGATGGTGAGAGGTTGTTTGGGAGGAAGATTTGGCCTAGAGGCAGTTGGTTGTCACTGTGTCTGCAGAGTTCAGGGATAGAGTAGCTCGATCTGCTCTTGGGCTTCCAGATGTGATGACTTGGAGCCCCTTCATGCTGTTTATTTTTATTGCATGTGTATGAGTGCTTATCTGCATGTATATAAGTGTACTCCTATCATGTAGTGCCTGCAGAGGCTGGAAGAAGGCATTGGATCCTCTGGAACTGGAGTTATAGGCTGTTGTTAGCCACCATGTAGGTGCTGGGATTCAAACCCAAGTCTTCTGTAAGAGTACCCAGTGCTCTTAACCACTGAGTCATTTCTCCAGCCCTTACTGAACATTTTTTAAGTTAGCTTACAAAGAATAGGTTGACATTTTATTTTTTAATTTTTACTTAGTTTTCAAAAATATGAATGCCTATTATATGAAGGGAATTAGTGTAAGTAGAAATCAGCTCCCTTAAAAAATGTTACATCTGCCTGGCGTGGTGATGCACGCCTTTAATCCCAGAACCTGGGAGGCAGAGACAGGCAGATCTCTGTGAGTTCAAGGCCAGCCTGGTTTGCATAGCAAGTCAAAAAGACATCCCCCCAAAAGTTACCTCTCTCTCTCTCTCTCTCTCTCTCTCTCTCTCTCTCTCTCTCTCTGTCGCTCTCTCTCTCTCTCTCTCTCTCTCTCTCTCTCATCTATCCATCTGTCATATTGTACTCATTTGTCTGGAGAGGGGGTATACCATGGTGCATGTGGAGATCAAAGGACAACTTTGGGGAGTAGGTTCTCTCCTTCCACCATTGGGTCCTAGGGATTTAACCTAGGTTGTCAGTCTTGGCAGCAAGTACCAGCACCTTTACCGGTTGAACCATCTCACTGGCCCTTTTCTATTAAAAAAAAAATTGTGTGTGTGTGTGTGTGTGTGTGTGTGTGTGTGTGTATGTGTATGTCTGAGGTGTGTACTCATGGGTACACACAGGCCAGAGGAGTACATAGAGTGTCATACTCTATCACTCTTCCTCTTATCCCCTTGACACAGACACAGAGTCTCTCACTGAGCCTAGAGCTAGGTTGGTGACCAGCAAGCTCCAGAGGTCCTCTTGTTTCCACCCTCCACAGCACTGAGGCTACAGGCATGTGGACACACCAAACATTTAATATGAACGCAGGGGAATTGAACTCAGGTCCTCATGCTTGTGAGAAAGTGCTCTTACCCACAGAGCCATCTTCTCATCATTTTAGATATTTCTCTGGGCTAGCTCAGAGCAGGCCCGATGAGTCCATCCCAGGGCTGTTGCTGGTGACCCACCCAGGCCTGCCTGTCTTCAAGTTTGTGCTGTGTCACCTGGGGGAGTGCAGCTTTGACAAGCCTCTCCTTCATGTGTAGTGGCCTCTGGCTGGTGTGAGAATGGAGTTTGTGGCTCATTATGGGGCATTTTGCTCTGTCCATCCCATTCAGTGCTATGTGTTCACACAAGGCCAGGCCAGAGGAAGTTCCACAGCTCATGGCCTCTCTCCCTTGGTGGCTATGAAAACCTTTCCAATAAAGAGTCCATTCTTTATTGGCCAGGCTGATTGACCCACTTGTCAGGCCACAGAGGGTCATATTACTGCCCAAGCAGGCCCAGCCCTAGGGATGTCGTTCCTGGCTGCCATTCTTCTCTGGGTGTGACCAAGGCACCCTGTGCCTCCTGGCTAGTGTGTGTGTGTGGGGGGGGACTGTGGAGATTGTGCTGGATTGGTTGTCACAGGCATGTCCATGCTTTTTTCTTTTTTTTTTAAGTACTAAGGATTGAATCCAGGACCTTACACATGCTAGGCAAGCACTCTGCCCTGAGCCTTTGCCCATGGTTCTTACTTGGCATTATAGCATGCTAGAGAGCCTCTGCTTAAAGCCAAGTGGAGTGTTCAGCCCTGGGACTTATTTTTAAAAATATTTTATTTATTATTTTTATTTTATGTGTATGAATGAATTGCCTCCATGTATGTAAGTGTACCCATTTTAGCAGTGCCAGTTGGGGAGGCTGCTGGAAGCTCCCAGAGTTTACCTGGTACATGCGGGTCATCTGAGCTCTTGCTGTGTACCCGTGGGAACAGTGTTCTGTGTTTGGGTTCTGTTTTCCATAAACATTGCTTTCTTGTACTGTTGATTTCCTGATTTCCAGCCTATCAAAATACGGGCTTTCAGTTGTGAGAAGGAGACCGAGATGGAGGTGGAGCATGCTGGATGCTGGATAGAGTGCTGGGCTGGAAGACTGCTCTAGGTAGTTTCCCAGGGTCTGGAATTTAGGGCCCGTGCCATGAGGAGAGGGCCCTGCGTCCTGTCAGTGAGATAAAGATGACAATCACTTACATGCACTGTGGGGAGGGTGATGGCAGGGCCATGTGGTTTTTGTCAGTACTTTAGGAAGGGCAAGGGATAAGGCTTTTTGTGTTCATGGGAAGAATAAATGAAGTCAGAATGAAAGTTTGGGAGGTCTGTGTGTGTGCGTGTGCATGTGCATGTGTGAGACAGTGTGTGTGTGTATGTCTGTGTCTGTGTCTGTGTGTGTATGTGTGTGTATGTGTGTGTATGTGTGTGTGTGTTATTGGAGGTGGAACCAGGGGCTTGTATATGCTATACAAGAGCCCTACCACTGAACCATGTTCCCAACCCCTTACTAGGGGATTCTAGGCAGGTGCTCTACCACTGAGCCACACCCCAGCCCCTCACTGGGGATTCTAGTCAGGTGCTCTACCACTGAGCCACACCCCAGCCCCTCACTGGGGGATTCTAGTCAGGTGCTCTACCACTGAGCCACACCCCAGCCCCTCACTGGGGCATTCTACATAGATGCTCTACCACTGAGCCACACTTCTTATCGCTCTATCACTGAGCTACTACAGTTTCTTTTTTATCTTTATTTTGAAAAAAGATCTTAGGGACTTGAGAGATGGCTCAGCAGTTAAGAGCACTGTCTGCCCTTGGGTTTGGTTCCCAGCACCCACATGGTGGCTAAGAACTACCTGCAACTCCAGTTCCAGGATGCTCTCTTCTGACCTCCATGGACATTGCACAACAGAGGTGCATTTACATATATGCAGGCAGTACACTCATACACATAAAATAAAAATAATAAAGTATTTTAAAAATAAAAAGTAGAAAAAGGAAAAGATTTTATTGGGTTTCCCAGACTGGCTTTGATCTTACTATGTAGCCCATGCTGACTTCAAACTGTGATCCTCCTACTTCAACCTCCCAGGTGGCTTAGGTGATAGGCCTGGTTTTTGATGTCCCCTTTTCTGTTCTCCGTTCGTCATGGAGAATAAATTTCTTTACTTCAGCTTCCTTGACATTTTCCTTTTTTTTAGTTAAAAAAATTATTTTATGAGCATGAATGCTTTGTCTGTATGTATGTAAATGTACCACGTATGTGCAATTTGTGGAGACCAGAGAGGGTATTTGATCCCCTGAACTGGAATTATGTGGGTGCTGGGAACAGAACCCAGTCCTCTGCAAGAGCAGTGAGTGCTCTTACCCATTGAGCCATCTCTCCAGCCCCTCCTTTTTTGTTTTGTTTTTTTTTTGTTTTTTGAGACAAGGTCTCCCTGTAGCCACAGGTGGCCTGGAACTTGCCATGTAGACCAGACTGGCCTTGAAATCAGAGATCCACCTGCCTCTGCTCCTGAGTGGTGGGATCAAAGGCATGCGCTACTATACTTGGTCTTTTTTAAAGTTTTTAAGAAAGATTTATTTTTCTGTGTATGCTTACCTGTGTATTCATCACATGTGTGCAGTGTCCATAGAGTCCAGAAGAGGGCGTTTAGGCCCCTGGAGCTGGAGTTAGCAAGGATTGTGAGCTACCTTGTGGGTGCTGGGAACTGAACCCAGGTCCTCAGCAAGAGTGTAAGCTCTCTTAACCACTGAACCGTCTCCAGCCCCAGCTTCTTTTGACATTTTCGATTAGGAGAGGGCCTTGCTTTGGAAGGCCTCCTGTGTATAGGTCCCCAGCCTGTCTCCCTGAATTGTAATAGCCAATCATGTCTCCAGATATCTCCACATGTGCTCTGGTGGGCAGACTTGCCACCCCATTGGGTGCTTGCTGTGGACCTCAAGACCTGGGCTCTGCTTACATCTGTACCTTTTGCCCTCCACACCCAGCACCTCACCCTGAGGCCAGGGAGGCAGCTGGCCACCCACCTCCAGCCATCAGGCCTGCTCTGTTGGGAACTTTGCCCATCTCTCCCGACTGCTTTAAGAGTTTGAAGGCCTTGAAAGCCCAGTGTCTTGATGAGGGTTGCTGTTTGTTCCGGACATCTTCTTGCCTCAGTGTTACTTCCTTCCTGGGGCAGGACACCCTTCTGTTCTTTGGGTGCCTTTGTAAAA